GGGCGATCGGGCCCTCGGACGCCGCGGCTGACGAATGGGCGCGCAAGGGCGGCTTCATCCACAAGCCCGCGCACGGCTGGCTGCACCCCGACGCCAGGGTCCTGGGGCCCGGGGTCTCCTACATCGTCCGGGTGAGTGCGCCCGCGGGACCTCGGCGTCGCGTCCCCTCCGAACCCCCTCCCTGCATCCAGGGGCCTGGGGGTCTCTCCACACTTCCTCTAAAGGGCCTGGACCCTAAGAGCTAGATGTCCACTCTCCCCACCTCCGCGACCCCCATCTCTGGTCTGGTTCCCACGGCGTCACGTGGGGAGGGGCGGGGAGAGGCGCAGGTGGGAGGGGCGCATGCGCAGGTGTAGTCCCCTCTCTCCTTGGGTTGGGGTCCGGGAGGAGCAACCCGGATGAGACGCAGCCAGCCCGCCTTCGGAAAGCTCCACGGCAGAGACCTTGGCCAGAGGTGCTGGCGACTTTAATGGGGCCCCAGGATCTCGGGGTTCCAGATGAGAGACCACGGACCTGCACCCCGCCCCATGTGGCCGGAGAGACCCACCTTTGTTTATTTATCCCGGGATTTTGTTCTGGGCCGTGTCACGCGCAGAGGAAGTGCGGGGGTAGATGAGCCCCTCCACCGCGGACGCTGACGCAGCCTCTCAGTGCCCCGTGTGTGTGTGTGTGTGTGTGTGTGTGTGTAGTTTGTTTTTGTCTTTTGGTGGTGCTGCGGATGGGAGCCCGGGCTTCACACAGCTAGGCGATCGTTCACCGCAGAGCCGCACCCGCGGCCCTTTTTATTTTAGTTTCAGACAGATTGTCGCTAAATTGCCCAGGGTAGCTTGGAACTTGAAATCCTTCTGCCTGAGCCTCCCTGATAGCTGGAACCACAGGCACGCGCCTCCACACCTGGCTTTGATGTCTAGGTTTTAATAAACCATTTGGAAGTAAGCTGCAGGTGTGTAATGCTGGCCTTCTGAGACCCCCCTCATCCGCCCACCGAAGTTTCAAAACCATCAGTGACTGGTGGAGGTGTTGGCGTGGGCAGGGCCCTCAGCTCCTTGCTGTGCTTCCGTTAGGAGCCTACGGGAGTGTCTGGGGAGTGTCTGGGCTGGCCGGCCTGATTGCTTGCTTTCTGAGAAGCGTCCCCAGCATTCGCCCCACCCCCATACCAGCCCAAGCCACCCCGCATCCGTGCACATTGGGGATCTGTGAAAGGGACCTGAGTGGGAAGAGGGGACCTTGCGGATGTTATCAGGTTGGTGTAGTGCTGCTGGATTATAGTTCATCCCAAAGCAGCAACTCGTGGGGCTGGGGATATAGCTCAGAGGCCCAACGCCTGCCGGGCAAGCGCGACGTCGTGAGTTCGATTCCCGGTACCGGAAAAACAAAACAAAACAAAACACAACAACCAAAGCTGCAACTCGTGTCTCTGTGAGGAGAGGCCCGAAGAGGCCAAGAAGGGCCAAGAGAAGAGGAGACCGGGCTGGAGTGACACAGTCACAAGCCCAGAGCCCCTGAAGCTTGTCAGGTGTCCCCGAAGCTGGGAGAAGCAGGGAGGATCCTTCCCTGGCACTTGCAAGTGAAGTGCGGCCCTGCACGGACTGATCTCAGAATTCCTCCCTCCAGAGCTGAGAGGGAGTACATTTCTGGTTTTTTGTTTGTTTTGAGATAAGGTCTCTCTGTGTAGTGCAGGCTGGCCTTGAACTCACTGTGGAGCCCAAGCTGGCCTCAATCCCCCATCGATCCCCTCCCTCAGCCTCCTGCTTGCTGGGATTAGAGGTGTGTGCCTCTACACTGGGCTTGTTCTGTTTTAAGCCTCCTAGTCGGTGGGAGTTTGTTACAGCAGCCCCATGAGGGGTCCAGGCTGGCATCAGATCTCTGGGACATGCAGATCCCCAGGGCCAGCCTGGACCCACAGGTTTGGAACTTGCTCCTGGCTCCAGGTCTGGGTGGACAGTTAGCGTGCAGCGCACGTGGTTAGCATTTGTCTACTCCCTTCAGGTAGGGAAGATGCGGAAGTAACTGCAGGTTGTAGTGGGAGAGGCAACAAGTAAATAAAAGAACAGAAGAAGCCAGGCAAAGCAGACACACCTGTCATCCAGAACTCTGGGAGGCTGAGGAAGGGAAATGACAAGTTGAGCCTACTACCCTGGGCAATTTAGTGATGATGTAGTGAGGCTCTGCCTCAAAATAGAAAATAAAAACAAGCTGGGGATGTAGCTCAGTGGGATGGCCCTGGGTTCAAAACCCAGTACAGTACCAAGAGGAGGGGAGGATGCAAATAAATGGGGAAGTTCAGAAGTCACAGGGCCTGGGAGGGCCGAGGAAATAGTAAAATTTGGTGGCAGAGTGAGAGATGGGGGCGGGCTGGGGATTTAGCTCGGCGGCACAGGGCCTGCCTGGCAAGCGCAAGGTCGTGAGTTCAATTCCCGGTACCGGAAAAAAAAAAGGAAAAGCAAAAAACAAAAAGAGATGGGCAGGAGGTGAGATCTAGGCTGAGACATGCAGCTCTGGAAGCCCCAGCCTAGAACAGCTGGGGGTGCTGACAGTAGCAGGGGCAGTGGTCCTGGTAATGGACAGTGCGAAGTCTAAAGCAGCCTCAGCCCAGCCCCATGTCCTGGGAGCTGCTGCTTCCTGCAGGGGTTTCCCAGGAGGAGTGGGTGCCAGACAAGTCTCCGGCTGGCAGAGAAGTAGGAGGTGGGGTCGGGCAGCGCCCACCCCCAGTCACACCAAGGAAGAGACATGGGATCAGCAGGTCTGAGCACAACCCTCTTGCACCAGGCAGTCCCCATTACAGTTGGGGAAACTGAGGCACAGAGAGGCCAAGGTTACTCTGTGGTCATCCAGGCCCAGACCTGGAGCAAGGGCTCCTCCCATGAGGGTGAGAATCTCTGAGGACCCATGATTGGCAGATTAATGACCCCTATGAGTCCAACTTCAGGACCCTGAGAGGGGGTCACCCTTGGCCACCTCAGGCCTCCCCTGAGTGGGTGCAGGAGGGTGAGAGGCAGAGAGAGGCTGACGAAACAGCACTGCCAACTCTGCAGATGGAGGAAGGGGCCAAAAGCCGAGGGCTGCAGGCGCCTCTAGGAGCCAGAATGAGGACCTGGGTTCTCCCTGGAACCTCAGGAGGAGCACCCCTGCTGCCCATGCCTGGATTCAGCCCAGTGCCCCCAGGTTTGTGGGGCTTCATTCTAGCAGCCAGGAGGCTCAGAGCCAGTTGACGCCCTAGCTCCTGGTATCACAGACCCTCACAGAGCCCTGTGCCTCTCTGCATGTGGATGGAAGGGCCGTGCACAGATGTGAGTCCAGCTGGGCTGCAGCTCTGCACCTGTTGTTTCTGGAGACCTGGGCTGATTGCTCCTCAGAACCTGGAGGTTTTCTGCCTGTTTTTTGCAGAAGCTGAGGTGCATCAAAACCAAGGAAGCGGCTGGGTGTGGTGGTGTACATCCGTCATTCTAGCACTCAGGAGGCTGAGGCAGGAGGATTGCTATGAGTTTGAGATCAGCATGGGCTACATAGTGAGAACCTCTTAAAAAACAATGAAGGAGGAGAAGAGGAAGAGGAGGAGGAAGAGGAGGAAAACAAGCAAGCAGGCTGTGTGAAGATGTCCGGGAAGGGGGTGTGATGGTGGAGGCAGGGCGTGATGTGGTCGCCAGCCAAATGACACAAAGCAGAGCCGCTCATGGCCAGACACTGGGGGAGGCAGCTGGCTCTGCACAGACCTGGATGTGGGTGTCTGGGCTCCGACACCCAGGCAGATGCACCCGGTTGTCTGAAGCTTGGTTTTGGTGATGGGTCAGATGGCCCCAGGGGCGCATGCTCCATCCTCAGAGCCCTGGCTCTGTCTGGGGTCAGCTCCTGTGCTGGTGGCTGAAGTCCTGTAGAAAGGGCCCTCCTCCTGTGGCCCCACGCTGCCCAGAGGACCGCTGTGTATCTGCTGTCACTGTGATGTGGAGCGTCGTTTTTAATCTTACATCAGATTTTTTTTTTTTTTTTGGTTTTTCTCCGGTACCAGGAACCGAACTCACGACCTTGCGCTTGCCAGGCAGGCGCTTTGCCGCTGAGCTAAATCCCCAGCCCCTCTTACATCAGATTTAAGTGGCCCCGCAGGGAAGCAGGGACCCATCGAGCAGCCCCGTCCTAGGTGGCTGTTTATCCCTGACTCTGAGTCTTTGCTGAAGGGGCCATGTCAGGGCCGCACTGGCTCTGTGGACCAAAACCTGGTGCTTTCCAGAGCTGTCACCTGGGTCTGTGGATGCCCAGGCCTGTGCTCTTGTTCTGTCTTGACTGAGCTGCCTGCTTCCCAAGGAGCCCTTGCCTCATGGTGCAGGGTGTAGGCAGTGACCATCTGCAGGAGGCAGCTTGGCAGCAACCCTCAAGATCTAGGTTCTTTCTTTTGTGTGGTCATATTCAGTGTGCTGACTCATTTTTCCTCATGGTCACAAGGAGGCAGCCACAGCACCAGGCATTGTTATGGACCCAACTTTTCTACTAGAAGAAAAGACCGACCTTTCTTGGGGGTCCTCTTCTTTTTTTGAGGCTCCCACCTTGTGACCCCTATACCTCATAGCTATCAAATTGGCTTAAATCAGTGATGAGAGAATGTGCTACCCAGACCAGTAGCATCAACAACATCCCCCCGGTATGGCCCTGGAGTGTCAGATGCTAGCATGGACACCCACCAGAGACGTGTTCTGCTTGAGGGAGGGTATCCACTGAGTAGCTGACATCCCTCCAAAGCTGTCCACACCTGTCCTGGGGACAAGGACTGTTGTTGATGCCCTGTGAAGTGCTTCATGTGTGACATATGATGGATATATAATCCACACCTGTGCATTCAGTGGTCAGCCCATCCTCTGACCATCCCCCCCACTCCCCTGCCCATCCATCATCCATCATCTGTCATCCATTCATTCGTCCACCCACGCATCCGTCCACCCATCCATCCACCCAGTTGCTGTCTGTTCAGCCATTGATTTACCTGTGATCCTTCTGTCTGTCCACCCATCCACTCATCATCCATCCACCTGTCCATCTATAGGCCCATACGTTCATCCATCCATCATCCATCCATCCATCTATCCGTCCATTCATCTCTCTATCCATCTGCCCACTAATCCATCTGTTTACCTATCGACCCACCCATCCACCATCCATCCGTGCATCCATCCACCCATCCATTTTTCCAGCTACCTACCCACCCATCCATCCATTCACCCACCATCTATTCAACCACTGATGTACCTATAATCTATCTGTCCACCCCTGTGCTCATCATCATCCATCCATCATCCATCACCCACCCGTACATCCACCCACAACAGGTGAGGCAGCTCAGCCTCCCCATCCCCCGCAGCCTGAAGCTCTCTCATGACTCACCTCTCAGAATGGACACCCCGACCCCAGCTCCCATGCTACAGCTCTGCCTTGATCCTCTGGTCTCCATGGTGGTACCCACTTCCGGGCCTATGCTAATTGCTTGACCTGGACCCTCCCTTGGCTGACCCAGGGTCACTGTCCCCGTGAACCTTTGCTGGGTAGCTCACTACCCCACAGCCTACATCGGGCATTTCTCAAGATTCTGTGTATGTGTGGGTGAGTGTCCCCAGGCCCTGCTTTTGTGACCATTGGCCCCGTGTCAGCGGGGACACTGTCTGGTCCGGCAGGCTGGGCTGGTGGCCTGGGGCAGTCACAAGGCTCTTAGGGCAGCCCTCTTCTGAGGCCTGTGTGTCACATTCACTGAACAATGACCATTTTTACAAACTACTGAGGGTGCCCAGGTCCTCCACCCTGGGCAGTCATGGGGACCCTGCCCAGGCCACCTCGTCCCCGTATGAGAGGCGCGGGCCGCGGGAGCCCTGCACACGGCCTGGACGACCCCCTCCCGCTTCTATAGAAGGCTCCCTCACTGTTCCCTGTCTCGCAAGGTGACACCAACACTGGCTCTTGTACATGTCTAACAACTGCTTCTGCTTACACCTGTATCCGCTTCTGTCCCAAGTACCATGATTTGTTTATCTGTGGCAAAAACACAGCAGAACCAGTTACATCTCTGAGGAGTGCAGACAAATTTTAGTGTGTGTCCCATGTACTACTTGGGAAATAATGATGGTGATAATAATAATGACTTCTCTTCCTTCCTTTTTTTTTTTTTTGAGACAGGGTCTTGTTAGGTAGCCTAAGCTGACCTCAAACTCGTGGTCATCGTCTTGCCTCAGCCTCCTGAGTACGGGGATGGCAGCCGTGCATCACCACGCTGGTTTAATATTAATAAACTTCTCCACTGTTTAGTAGAAATTCAGTATAACAGGGCACCCTGCCTCTGCGGAATGGACCCTGCTGAGCCGGGGTTTCTCTGTACACGTTCAGTGCTGCAGGCGCGGCAGGGTGGGCCAGGGGTGCAGGCTCACAGGCACTGGCGGGGAGACGGAGGCCTGCAGGCTGGGAGCTGTTGCCTGGGGGGGAGGCTCTGCGGCAGCAACCTGGCCTTGTGCCCACCTCCAGCTCTGGGCAGAGCTGGGTTAGAGTTTAGGGATCTGGGCTGGGATGGCTATGGAGTAAAGCTCTAAAAATGGCATTGTGGGCTCAAAGGTGGTGGGTGTTTGTCGTTTTTACAAAATGGGCTGGGTGTGGGGGTGCACCCCTGTCATCCCAGGGCTTGGGAGGCTGAGGCAGGCTTTGAGTTGGAGCCTGGGCTACATGAGAAGTTCAAGGTCAGCCTGAACTATGTAGCGAGGCCCTGTCTCAAAAAATGATACAAAACAAAATAAGATGGGATAAAAATCACAAAATAAGCCAGGCATGGTGAAGTCTTTAAGCTGAGACAAGAGTATTTTTGGGGGGCAGCTTCTCAAAAAAAAAAAAAGAAAAGTAAGACATTGAATTAAAAAAAAAAAAAAAAAAACTGATAGCAAAAGAACCCTGGCAGGATGGTTCACGCCTGTGTTCCCAGCACTTTGGGAGGATGAGGCAGGAGGACTGTAAGTTTGAGCCTAGGCCCTGGAGTCCATCCTCAGCTCAAAAAAGAAAAAAGCAAAACAAAATTAGCCATTCATCATTTTGTAGTGCTCCGTCCAGTGGGGTTTGGTACATTCACAGTGTTGCCCCCCAACATTCTGTCACGCCGGGAGGAAGCTCCTTCCACTCCCAGAATTCACCTCCTGTCTGGGCTCGCCTGTCTTGCATGTCCCCAGCAGTGTGGCCCTGTCCTGCATCTTCCAGCGGGATGCACAGGGTTTGGAGGGTGACAGTCACATCCAGCCTGCTCTGCCCAAGGCTCCAGGCCGTTGGAGCTTGGACAGGACACCCTAGCACACAACAGAGCCACCATGTGTTCAGTGGGTGACAGTGGTTGGGCCTGCAGTGGGGAGGGAGCAGCGGCAGGCGGCAGGTGCCAAGGCCCTGGGGCAGCAGGGTAACTGTCAGGGCAGAGCAAGCAGCAGGGTGGTGAGAGTGGGGAACATGAGACTAACTGGGAGACGGCCCAGGGCCTGGACTGTGGCTCTGTCGCTGACTCTGGTACCTCTGTCCCTAGTACATGGGCTGCATTGAGGTGCTCAGATCCATGCGCTCCCTGGACTTCAGCACTCGGACCCAGGTGACCAGGTGAGCCCTCGGAGGCCACTTGGGGGCTCAGCGCTGCCTGGCTCAAGGCCTCTTGAGGGGGATGAGCTGGGATGGGAGGTGATCGTGTCAGGGACCCTGGGAGGCCTACTGGGGACAGGTCCCCCCACCTGCCTCATCCGGGGAGTGCCTCGGTGGTGGCACCTTGGGTCTGGGGGCTTGGGGCCTACACCTCAGTCCTGCCCTGCCCTCCACGGGTCATGATGGTTACCCACACCTCCCAGACTCGGTTTTTCTCTGTAGGAAAGTGACCAGCCAGGTTGCAGGGCGCTGTGCCATTTCCCACGGGGTGCTGGGGGACCGTGGGTGGCACTCTGGGGTGTCCTGGGTGGGTAGCACAGAGAGGCAGGTGATCCCACCACACCCGGGCCTGTCGTCGAGGTCTGTCCGCGCCATGGCGTCGCCCGGCTGAGTGATGCTGTAGTAGGAGTGGAACTGCTGGGTCCAGGGGTGACTCAGTTTACCCTTCTGAGGCAAGGCCGACTGTGTTTCTCCACAGCTGCCTGTCTCAGTCCCCTGGCCTGTGCAGGGTCAGGGCTGTGTCTCTCCAGGACACTGACATCCTTGGGGCTATTTTGTGCCTGAGGGACCTTCAGTGTCCCTGGGGGTCGTGGCTGTCTCCTGCACTGTTGGGGTTCGGTTCCTGCCACCTGGGGTGGCTCAGGCAGGGGACCGCCGCTTGTCCTGTCCGGCCCTGGGTCTGACCCCTCCCAGGGACGTAGTGGACACAGGAAGGAGAATGGGGTTGGGGTGGAGGGCAGGCCTCTTGCTCCGGGCCCTCCTTTCCGTCTGGCCCCATCTCCTCTGGGCCCTGCCCCTGCCCTTTCCGGTTCCCTCACTCCAGGTGTCGCCCTCCAACCACAGGGAGGCCATCAATCGGCTCCACGAGGCCGTGCCAGGCATCAGGGGCTCCTGGAAGAAGAAGGTGGGTGAGGACTGCCACTCCCCTCCAGCTGGCAGGCAAGCTCCAAGGCTATGGGGACACAGCGGCCATCCTGGGTGCCCCTGTGACACTGCCTGCCTGCGCAGGTCCCACGAGCTGAGTCCCGGTCCCCCGTGCTCTGGCTGAACGCCGCCCCATGCGGAGCCCCGCCCTCCTTTCTGGCCCCGCCCCTATCCGGAGCCCCGCCCCTTCTCAGTCGCGTGCACGCTGAGCCCCGCCCCTTCTTCGTTGCGCTCCTTCTCTCTGCCCCCTCCCCAGGCGCCCAACAAGGCACTGTCCTCTATCCTGGGGAAGAGCAACCTACGCTTTGCCGGCATGAGCATTTCTGTGAACATTTCCATCGACGGCCTTAACCTCTCGGTGCCCGCCACCCGTCAGGTGAGTGCCTCATCGCCCTCAGCTGCCACGTGATAGCTGGGCCCCCTAGCAACTCCCAGGATCCTTGAGAAGGTCCTGGAGTCTGTCGCCTAGGTGGAACCAAGAGGAGGTGGAAGGACGGGTGCAGGGTGGATGTGCCTCCAGACACATCCAGAAAGCTGTCCAGGGGCCCTGCTGCAAGCTGGGAGCCCAGGGGACAGCACCGCTGGCCGGGTGGCACACTGTTGCAGGGACTGGGGGTGTCAGGACTGGGGTGGCTCCGGGTGTGGACGTGGAAGAGGTGACTCAGCTCTTGTGGGGTCCAGGGTGCTTCCCCTCAACTCAGGTCCACAGTGAAAGGTGGACCCTGGCTTCTGATGGCAGAGATGCAGGGATAGAGCTGAGTTCTAAAAAGCGTTCTGGGGCAGAAGGGGCTGCAGGGAGGGGTCTGGGAGATGGTGGGGAGAGGGACATCTGGCAGAGGCCAGCAGGGGCCATGGGGAAGGCACTGGGTGGGGCCAGAGACAGTCCAGCCGTTGGGATGGATCGGCCCGGAGTCAAGGCTGCTGCTGTGTCCCGCGGGGGAAGGGCCAACTTGGGGTAAACCTGAGAGATGAATGGAGCGTCTGCCGAGGGACTTCATGTGGCCTAGGGCAGGTCCGGTCTTAGTGCTCTGGACCTGAGTTTCTCATTTTGGCCAAGTTGGTGGTGGGCTCTGATCCGGGATTCAAAGGGGAAGTCTGGGGTGGAGAGCAGCAGCCGGCCAGGCACGGGGCGAATGCTGAAGGAGCCCCACTGCCGCAGGAGGTCAGTGAATGGGCATTCAGCTCCCGGGCTGGCGGCTGTGACCCCCACGTGCCTCCCACCCTCCCCGACATCTGTCTTGGGGGAGGCTGAGGCTCGAGACTCGAGGAGCCCTGCTGGCCATCTCCTGGGGCCAGCTGTGCCTCGGAAGGGTCTGGCTCCTCAGTGGGAGACCATGGCCCCAGGGCAAGTTCTGGCTTGATACGAGGCTCAGCTACTGGGGACAGGAATGAAGTCGCCGCAGAAGCCCCCTTTCCGGGAGTGGAATGTGGAGTCCTGGGCATTGGGGTGTGCGTGGCGTGCAGCAGCTGAGACATGGAACCTCACTGCTGCCTGTTCCACAGACTCCCTGGCTGGGACAAGGGACAGGGTGAGCTAGAGCCCAGGCAGTGTGCAGCGGGGACACCACCGCGCCCCTACATTGTCCTGGCCGCCATCCTGCAGCAGGACCACGAGGCTCCCGAGAGCAGTGTTTCTGGGACACCTGGCAGGGCTCAGGGGCCCCACAGGGCTGAAGAGGGGATGTTCTGTGAGGAGGACACTGCCACCCCCCTTGTCATGAGGGGATTTGAGGGACAGGTGGCAGAGGAGGTGGGACCACTTCAAACACATGCAAATAAGCATGCAAATGAGCCCAGGGCTGCTGCTGCCAGTCGTCTTGTGCTGCTGTGTGTGTGTGTGTGTGTGTGTGTGTTAGGTTGTGTCCCTGTGTCACTGTGTGTCCACCTCTGTGTATCTCTGTGTCTGTATCTCTCTGAGGATCTAGGGGACACATACTTGAGTGTGTCTTCCCGTGGGGGTGGCACAGTCCCCTCTGTGGCCCTGTGAACCCCTGAGCCCCGAGGTCCATCCTGATGGAATCTTGGTCGTCTTGGCTGGCCAAGGCCAGCTGTGGGGGGACCCTATAAAGAGAACACCTCTGTCCCCATGCCTGCCCCTTGCGTCCCTCCATGTCCTGATCCAGCCGTGGTCCCCGCTCTGGAAATGGCTCCCGACCACATGCACCTCCCGCCCTGCAGGTCATCGCCAGCCACCACATGCAGTCCATCTCCTTCGCATCGGGTGGTGACACGGTAAGGTGGGGACAGGTTGGGTAACCCTCAGAGCCTCCACATTCCCCCAGACCTGTGGCCCCGTCCCTCTGTGAGGCTGGGGTGCAGGATCCAGGTGGGGGCCAGGTGGGCCCAGCCGATCTCTGCCAGCACCCCTGTCCCCAGGACATGACGGATTATGTGGCCTACGTCGCCAAGGACCCCATCAACCAGAGAGGTGAGGCGTGGGGGAGGCGGGGCTGCAGGCTGGGTCGGGCAGCCTTGCGCTGGGGCTGGGGCCTGGCAGCAGCGGCCTCACAGGTCACTGGCCCTAGCCTGTCACATCCTGGAGTGCTGCGAGGGCCTGGCGCAGAGCGTCATCAGCACCGTGGGCCAAGCCTTCGAGTTGCGCTTCAAGCAGTACCTGCACAGCCCCCCCAAGGCAGTCGTGCCCCCCGAAAGGTAGCTGAGTATGAGGCCCGCTGACTGGGGTGGGCCCTTACTCCTCGTGCCTCCCTTGACCTGAGAGAGTCCCCCTCCTGCACCCCACCCTGTCCCACGGGGGCTGGGTGAAGATGAAGGGACAGTGGTTTGCGCAGGCGCACGCGGCTGCGTTGTCACTGTCCTCATCGCCAAACTGCTCTGTGCCCCACCCCCACCCAGGCTGACCGGGCTGGAGGAGTCGGCCTGGGGGGAGGAGGAGGAGGCCGAGGGACACAACTACTACAACAGCATCCCGGGGAAGGAGCCGCCGCCGGGCGGGCTGGTGGACTCCAGGCTGGCTATCACGCAGCCCTGTGGCTTCGCAGCGCTCGGCCAGGTCAGCGTGTCATCCACGTGGGCCGGGCTGGGGCGGGGGGTTCCTGCTCCCGAGCGCCTCACTCCTGGGGGTCTTGGCCCCCACCCTCATCTGCTGACCTGCTATGGCTCATTTGCTCCCAGACACCCTCTCGGGGTGCCACCGTGTGCCGGATCCCCTCTCCCCGCCACAGCCGGGACGGGGCTATGGGGAGTTCACACAGGGACGCTTTGGAGGTGGTCAGGGGCCTTGGAGGCTTGGCTGCGGGTGGGGGGGGTGACTGGGACCGCTCCTGGGGAGCCAAGCTGGGAAGGGCACAGGGCACAGGGAACATTGTGTGCAAGGTGGAGGCAGGTGACCGCCTTCCCCGGGACAGAGAAGGCCACAGGGAAGCACTAGGGGGCCCGATGGCTGCTGCTGGTGGCTAGAGAGGCGGGACCCTGGCAGAGGCTGAGGTCTGACTGTTCAAGTTGGCAGCCAGTGGGGTTGGGGTGGGTGCTGGGGTGCTGGCCGGCACAGGGCTGCACATATCCAGGGGCCCCTGCCTCTCTTTCTCAGGGAGCATCTCCATTGCGAAGAGACACCCGCAGCCTGCAGTGGGACCAGTGCTCTTCCGGCTCAGGTAGGGCACAACCCTCTCAGCCTGTCCCTCAGCCTCTGATTCCCCTCTGTGGTGTCAGCTTGCCTTTGAGGTGGCTGAGATGCAAATCAGTGCTCTTCCCCAGACAGATGAGTGTGATGCCTTTGGGGACGGGGCCTGTGCCTCTTGGTAACCATGGCGGTGAGGGCAGAATTAGTGTTCATGCAGACTCATAGCTCGGAATCGCATGGGTCAAAACACCAGGCATATAAACTGGGCATAATGTGCATACCTGTAATCCCAGTGCTCAGGAGGCAGAGTCAGGAGGATTGCTGTGAGTTTAAGGTCAGCCTGTAGAGAGAGTTCAAGAGAGAGTTCAAGGCCAGCCAGCATTCACATTGAGCTACATCCCTTTTTATTTTGAGATAGGGTCTTGCTAAGTCTCTTGGCTTGAACTTTGAATTCTCCTGCCTCAGCCTCCCAGAGTGCTGAGATGACAGGTGTGTGGCTCACCCTGGCTTTTATGCATGTGACAGTCCTGTGTGGATTCTCCCCGTGCCTTGCATGACAGATTTCCTTGCCATTCTGTTTCCTCCACCATGCGGAGGTTGAGCTGCTGGCCCCAACTCCTAGACATCTGCAGATTCCAGGTGTCCGCTGGCCCCAGCTCCTAGACATCTGCAGAGTCCAGGTGTCCGCTGTGACAGAGCCATGAGCATCGTGTGTGCTCGTCCCTCAGCCTGCACGCGAGGACTGGGTGTGCTCCTGGGTCCTGGGTGGAAATCATTACTACCCTCACCCGACTGCCCACTGGGTGCTGTGGACTTACTTTTTCTTTTTGCAGTGCTGAGGATAGAACCCAAGGCCTCTGCACGGCGCTACCTCTCCAGCCCCTTTTTATTTTTTATTTTGAGACACGGTCTTCCTGAGTTATGCAGGCTGAGCTGGAACTTGTGATCCTCCTGCCTCAGCCTCTCAGAACACTGGGATGACAGGCGTGGGCCACTGTGCCTGGCTTGCTGTGGGCTTCTGTTTCAGCGGAAAGACTGAGCTTCCGGCCCCTGACCACCGTGCCGTGTGACTCAGGAGGCGCGTGACAGAAGTGCCGCCTACCTCTGGGCACTTTTGTTCTCCCTTAGGATTTGGATCCCAGAGACAGCCAGTGGGGCACAGCCCGCGTTCACTCCCGGGCTGGCCTGTCCCTTCTGTCCCTTGCTGCTCTCAGCGTGAGCGCTGTCCTGTGTTGGGTGCCCGGGCGGCTCCTCATGCCTGGTCCTGTCGCCAAAGGCTGCCTCTCTGCCCCCTGAAGCAGCTGGGCTGTGTTTTGCCCTCCAGGCTGTCTATGCCGCCTGTTTTCTTGCAGCCTTGCCAGCATCTGTGTTGAGCCGTATTTAGATCCTCACAAATAACCTGGGCCTTTTGCTGCCAAGCGTTGGTGCGTTCACCAGCACCCTGCGCCTGTGGTTAAAGAAATCTCCAGGCGCCCACCAGTTGCCAAGCTGTACTCTGGCCCTGGTTTGCTTTCCCTCTGGGACGCTGGCTGCTCTTTCCTGGCTGTGGGGCTCGCTAGTGACTCCTGCCCCGGTGCCTTTGCGTGTGCTGTGGTTGTTTCCTGTCAGGCCACTCCTAAGTCTCTGGCCAAGAACTCCTATCAATATGTCAGTGCCCCACCTTCAGTGCCTAGGGATTCTTCCACCCGTGTGCTACATGCAGGGTCTTCTCTCCCACTCCAGGATCCTGTAGTCAGTCCCCCCTCCACCCCCGAAGTCCTGCTGTAAGCCCAGGAAAGCCTGTGCACTAGGCAGTTAGGAAGGTTGGGCTAAAAAGGCCTCTGCCTCTTGGTAACCATGGCGGTGAGGGCAGAATTAGTGTTCATGCAGACTCATAGCTCTTTTTTTTTTTTTTGGTACCGGAAATCTAACTCAGGACCTTGCACTTGCCGGGCAGGCGCCTATGCCACTGAGCTATAGCCCCGGCCCAACTCAGAGCTCCTGCTCGATGCTGGGTTTTTTGTTTGTTTGGAGACGGTCTCACTGTGTAGTTTGGGCTATCCTTGACCTCACTGTGTAGCCCAGGCTGGAGTCCACCTCACTGTTGATCTTCCTGCCTCAGCCTCCCAAGTGCGGTGATTTCAGTGTGTGCCACGACACCCTGCTCATGTTCAGTTCTCACCACTCTTGTGAGGAAGGTCTCACCCTCCCCCTGTGCCGGAGGAGGAAGCTGAGGCACAGAGGTTAATTAGCCTGCCCACTCCCCCAGGGGCCAGTGCTGGGATGGGAGCCCAGACCTCCTCAAGGGTAGTGACGTTGTGACCTCGGGCCCTGTGCTGGCTTTGGCCAGATGGTGACTTCTACCCAGGGTTAAGTGCTGAGAACAAAGGTGGTGTGGGTGCCCAGGGGAAGTTGCTCAGCCTGGAGCAAAGAGCAGAAGGGGGAGTTGGTTCCCAGGGACTGCTTCACACCCCTGGGGCAGGCAGAGGCCCGCAGCCGGCGGCCCAGCAGGCACGAGGCTGGGCGGGGATACCTCGCCCCCTAGAGGCAGAGCAGAATGGTCCCGACAGGAGGATCTGAGGGCCAGAGGGAGACGGCTCCTGGCGCTACCCTCCTGGCTTTTGAACCGTGTGAATGCTTTACACATTCAACAATAAAATTAAAAAGAAGAAAAGAAAGCAAATCCGAAAATAGAGCAGAGACAGAAGAAATGACCTAACCATGCATCACACTGATAACATAATTACAGGGAGAGCTGGTTATTGCTGTTATTTTTTAAATGTGGGGATTTAGCAAAACATCGGGAGCTGTCTTGGAAAGTGACACTCGGGGTGGGCGTCTGCCACCCCTGCACAAGTCCTGCTGTGTCCACGGTGAACCTAGCGTGACGTGCCCGTGTCCAGACTGGCCTGGGCACTCTCTTCACCCTGGCCAGCCCCTCCCCAGGGTCCCCATGACCCCACCGCCCCCTCTCCTCTGCAGCCCTGCCGGGGGATGGCTATGTGCAGGCAGATGCCCGGGGGCCTCGGGACTATGAGGAGCACCTGTACGTCAACACACAGGGTCTGGATGCCCTGGAGCCCGAGGACCTGGTGCCCCCGCAGCCTGAGGAGAGCCCCAAGAAGGACCTGTTCGATATGCGTAAGTCAGGTCTGGGTGGGTGGAGGCTGCAGGCAGATGGGGAGGCCTGGCCTTCTGCCCAGGCCCTGCAGCCCTCTGTGCTTCCTGTGAGGCCCCGTCTGAGGGGCGAGGCCGGACCTGGCGTGGACCGCACAGTTTGGGGGAAGGAGCTTGTTCTTCTGCCCATGGGACCCCCGTCTGCTGTGGGCCCCAGGGGCTGCTCCCCCGCCCTATGAGGGAGGGTCGGGCCACACTCCGAGTCCGTGGTGGGGCTGTTCCCTCCCTGCCTGAGGGAGGAGGGTCCTCCGTCCCTCTTTCCAGTCGGTTTCAGCCTCCTCCCGCCGGGCTGCTGTGTGCTGGCTCCCCAGGGCTCCCAGATGGCTGGCAGTTTCTTCACTCAGATGTTTGCAAGGCCCTCTTCCCTCTGCCATCTGTTTCTTCTCATTCTTGCAATAAGGACGTGGGCTGGTCGCTATTGAGCGCCTGCTGTGTACCAGGCATAGGATTCAGGTGGTGGGTATGGGATCTGAGGTGGGTGGTCCCCTGGGCCACCTTTAAATATGCTGGGCTGCCTCTGATTGGCCCACCCCAGGGGATATGCTCAGCCGTCAGCCAATCCTTTGGCTGGAAGGATGGCATGAGCGTGCTGATTGCCCGGGCCTATAGAGGTGGGTTCCTAGCCTGACAGGGTGAGATCCCAGACCATAAGTGACCAGGGTTAGGTGCGTGCAGGTAGTGCATTTGAGCTGAAGGCGGCAAGGGGAAGGTCACACCTGCTGTCACCAGTGGGCTGTGCAATGCTGGGGTCCTGTTACTGGGTAAGAGGGAGTGACAGATGGACAGGAGGTCAGTGCACAAAGGAATGTGTGCAAACGCAGAGGGGGACCAGATGCTGTCACCCCTGTGCATCCTTAGAAACCTCCCTTGTTGGTTCATGGGACCAACACACGGCTGTGGCCTGAAGCTTAGTGCTTGTGCTGCAGGCATAGCCACGTGCCAGGCTGTGTGCCCAGCTGCCCTGCCTGCCCACCTCCAGCACCTGTCTCCCCCGCAGGACCCTTTGAGGATGCTCTGAGGCTGCACGAGTGCTCGGCGGGCATTGCAGAGGATCAGTGGCCCAGTCCCCCCACCCGCCGGGCCCCCATCGCTCCCACGGAAGAGCAGCTGCGCCAGGAACCCTGGTACCATGGCCGCATGAGCCGCCGGGCGGCTGAGAGGCTGCTGCGAGCTGATGGGGACTTCCTGGTGCGAGATAGCGTCACCAACCCCGGGCAGTACGTCCTCACGGGCATGCACGCCGGGCAGCCCAAGCACCTGCTGCTGGTGGACCCCGAGGGTGTGGTAAGGGAGCGACAGCCGCTGGGTGGTTTTAAGAGGGTCCCACTGTGTATCTCAGGCTGGCCTTGAACTCATGGGTGAATCTCCAACCTCAGCCTCCCCACACCAGTGAGATCTAGCGCTGTTCCGTTCATGGTTCACTAGGCATTTTCCAGTGTGCAGGGAGTGCCGGGGTTTTTGAAATATTTCCCAGCATCCTGAGGCCGAGGGGCTGTTCCCAGGACAGGAGGGCGTGAGGCTCAGAGCCGCCTCAGCGGTACATCATGCTCTCCCGTCCAGCCAGCTTGCAGGCCTCACACACGGCCCGTCTCTGCACTGTGCACATGTGGACACAGCTGGGCCTGGGCTCTGTCCCTGTTGGTCTGTCCCTGGCACCTTGCCTGGCGGGTGGTGACAGATCAGTTGTTCCCAGGCTGAGTGCCTCTCCATTACCTGGATCTCTGGGATAGATCAGTGGCTCCAACACCTGGAGATACTTTGCTAAAATGCAGCTCCCCAAGCCCCAGGCCCGTGGAAGTGGGTGATTGAGCACAGGCTCAGGAGTGTACCTTTCAACTTGCTTTCCAACAGAAAGCACCCAGGGAGCCCAGCGTCACCCAGGGAAGGCTCAGTGCCCTGGGGTCAAGGGTTTCTCCACCTTGCCTCTGGCTCTTGAGCTCAGTGATGCTAAGATTTCCTCATTCTGAAATGAAGATGGTTTTTAGATTTGGTGACTCTAATTTTAGGATCTGTATCTCCAAGATGTCATGGTTGTATTTGCTCATGGGGCTACTCTACTAAAATGACATGAACTCTGTGGCTGAGAACACCATATATTTATTCTTTCACAGTTTTAAAAAAAATCTGTTTATGTATTTATTTTTGAGACAAGGTCTTGCTCTACAATCCAGTCTGACCTTGAGCTCACTATGTAGCCCAGGCTGGCCTTAAGCTCAGAGAGATCCTCCTGCCTCAGCTTCTCAGGTGCTAGGATTGCAGGCATGTGCCACCATGCCCAGCTTCACCTGAATAGTTCACCAGTAAGGTCATATGCAGAGGTACTGGAGTTGGAACTTGGACACATCTTGGTGGAGGCCACCAGGTAACCCATAGCAGGAGGCTCAGTCCAAGGACCCTGGTGGCTTCAAAGCCCAAGTCTGTCCACAGTTCTAGGATTCAGGGCTGGTTCTGTGTTTGAATCCTGGCACCTTGTGGTCCCGTGGGTCTGACCTGGCCTTGCGTCCGAGTTTTGGCCTGTTAGAGCAGGGCCATGGGTTCTGTGGCCTCCCCATGGGCTTGGTGCTAATGCTCTACCTCTGCCTGCAGGTGCGGACGAAGGATGTGCTGTTCGAGAGCATCAGCCACCTCATCGACTACCACCTGCAGAATGGGCAGCCCATCGTGGCTGCCGAGAGCGAGCTGCACCTGCGTGGCGTGGTTGCACGGGAACCCTGAGCCGATGCCCAGGTACAGATGGGGCCTGATCTGAGGACCGAGATGTGGTTCCCATCTTGGGGGCACTTGGGAAGCTGGGGTTGGGCTGGAGTGGGGGCCTGGACTGAGGGGGTCCTGGAGGCTGGGACTTCATATGCAGGGAGCTGGAGCTGGACCAGTGTGGGGCCCACAGGGGGCTGTGGAATTTCCCTAGAGAGGATGCAGAGGTCACGCTGCTCTCCTGTCTCCATGGCAACATGTACTTCCTGCCCTTCCCCCCGCCCAGCAGCCTCCTCCCCCTGACTGGGCCAGCACTGCAGGCAGGGCCATCGCCTGGAGGGGAGGTCCCATAGGCCGCCTGAGACGTCTGTGGGCACCGGTGTCCCTCTGTCCACAAGGAGGTCCGTGGGCAGGGCAGTCGCAGCCCTGCATCTCACACGCGCACTTCCGAGACAGGCCCTGGGATTAGTGGCAGCACACAGAGGTTCGGGGGATTCCTGGGGCACAGCAGGAACTTGAGGGGCCTGAGCTGCAGCCTCAGCTGCTGGCCACCCCAAGCGCAGGCAGTCATAAAGGCCAGCGCATAGTGATCATGGCCCTGCTCACTAGCTCAAGGTAGAAGTGCATGCATTGTCACAGGGTCCCCAGCCTCACCTTCCCTTTCTGCCCACAGGTGACTGTTAGCGGCTCCTGCCCCCAGGTGCCCCTGTCGTGGCCTTATGGGCACTCAGCCTTCCTCTCCGGGCCTGTCGGGCTGGAACCACAGAACCGCTGCTGTCTCCTCCACGGGAGCCTCGGGCATCCCTTCCTGCCTGTGCCTGCTGCCCCGCACCAAGCCAGGCGCTCATACCAAAGACAGAGCCTTCCTCGCCTTCAGAGCAGACACTTGGGGGTGCAGCCGTGCCTGGCCTCGCCCCACCATCCCCGTCATGGGCAGAGACCCCATGTGCTCCTCCCTGGCTGGACTTGAGTTATGTGCCTGGTCCCCGCCCCAGTGTGCACATGTGGGGCCTGCCCTGGCTAGACTCTTGCCCACCTGAGATACCAGGTGCCCACTGTCTTGTTGGGGGGAGAACTAAGGTGCTTTGGGGGTCTCAGGCGAGGGCACATGCTAATGTTATGGGGGGGGCAGTCCTGGGGCCTCCCTTGGCTGCTCCAGGTTAGGAGACTGGGAGACTGTGAGGCCCCCGCCTGCCCTCCAGCTGCAGACTGGACTGGACATTGGATGTTTGTAATTAAACCTGGGCGTGATGACAGCCTGACCATAGCCCACGGCACATGGGGCCCTGCAGGGCCAGGGCTGGTAGAGGCCTCCGGATAGATCCAAGGAGGGGCTGGGGGCTATAGGAGAGAGCTGTGCTGAGCCTGGGGGGCCAGCTCTCCCCCAGAAACCCCCAGCTCCCTCAGACTTACTTATTTATTTATGTCTTTTTGAGGCAGGGTTTCACTATGCAGTTCAGGCTGGCCTCAAACTCTCAGTGATCCTCCTGCCTCTGCCTCCCAAGTGCTGGTATTACAGGCATGTACCACCACAACCGGCTTCTATTTTATTTCAGATCCTGCTAAAGGCACCCCCACTTCTCCTTGAGACACCAGTTTGCCTCCCAAATGCTGTGTCCCCTCTCAGATCCCAGTGTTGCTGGCAGCGCTGGCTTCTCAAGCTGCCCCAACTCTAGCTGGGTGTGGGGTGCACTCCTGTCATCCCAGCACTAGACAGGAGGATCTCTATGAGTTTGAGACCAGCCCAAACTACATAGTGAGACCCTGTCTCAGAAACAAAACAAGGGCTGGGGATATAGCTCAGTGGCACAAGCGCCTGCCTGGCAAGCGCAAAGTCCTGAGTTTGACCCCTGGTACCACACACACACACACAAAGGAACAAAACAAAAAATGACCCCACTCACCCTGAGTGTGACTTGCTGTCTCAGCCACCTGCCTCTCCTGTCCTCTGTGACACCCTGACTCTCTTAGAGGCCCCCGCTTCTCCCTGGTGCTCAGCTTTCTTCTCAAGCACCCCAGCTTTGTGCTTTAGCTACTTCTGAGACTTTGTCTCCCGGGGGGACCTCTCTTCTCCCCACAGAGAAGGGCTGGGCCACTTGGAGGGAGAGGTGGCCCAGGTCTAGACCTGGGGGAGGCGCTGTGCTTCCTCTCCTCTCAGAGCGTGGAGGAAAAGCCACTGTACTCTGCCCTGGACTAGTGCAGCCTTCAAAGGCAGAGCCAGAGGGGACTCTGACACCATGTCTTACTTCAGAGACGTGGGGACGAGAGCCACCAAGTCACCCACTGTGAACTCACACACGCGTCATCGTCTGTCCACCCACCCAGCAGTCTGACTGCCCATCATCACCCATCCACCACCGTCCATCCACTGCCTATCCGCCCATCTAGCTGCTACTCATTCTGTTGTACTCCCATCCGTCCATCCGTCTGTCCATCTGTCCATCCATCCTTCCTTCCTTCCCTCCTTCCCTTCACTATTTCATACACCCATGTACCCATCATCACCACCCATCCTCCATCTTACACACACACACACCATCCTCTTACCACCCTGTACCACCCCTGGTCCGAGCCCTCTCACTACCAGGACCTCTGGTGGGCAACAGACCTGAGACAGACCTGCCCCCGTGGTGTTCACAGCTGACACTGATCAGATCACCACTAGGTGTGTAATGACAACTGTGCAAAGGAAAGGGCCCTGGAACTCAGAGATCCTAGGACATCTGGAGGGTTTCCTTATGGAATGACATGGGGCTGTGATGGGAGGTCGATGACATGCGCAAAGGCCCTGTGGTGTGTGGAGCCTGGCACATTCAGGGAACGGAAGGGTGGCAGGTGTGGGCACAGGGGTGGCCACGGTTGGAGGTGAGGCTTGGTGCCAGGGAGTTGCTTGGTCTAAGCATGGGGTGGGGGGGATGAGAGCTTACTCCCAAAGGGAAGAGATTCGCAGGTGAGAAGGACAGTGTTGATTGGGGAGGATGGGGCCAGGAGACGGTGCTCTGGTCCAACTGAGGGAGTGCAGGGTGTCAGGTCGTGGATGTGTGTGAGAAGAGGGGTGCATTTCACTTCATTCATTCACTCATTCATTCATTCATACATGGTCCTGGGCCCTGAGGCCCAGGTTCCACAGCCCCTGCCCTGCTCCTTTTGAAGCCCTTGCCCACTGGGCCCTGTGCTAAGAGCAGCTCAGGGGCCCCTGAGCCCCTGCCCATGGGGATAGGAGCCCCTGTACTGTGGGAAGCTGCAGAGAGGACAGCTGTTCTCAGCAGCTCAATGCAGGCCCAAGCGAGGGCCCATGATGCAGGAGCCCAGCGAGCCTCCCCATGGCCACCTTCCCCCAGTTCTGAGGGACAGAGGTGGCACACAGGTGGTTTGCTTTCTGAGCTGCCTGTGCCTCCTAGAGCCTGTGCTAGGACTGCTGGGGCCACCGTGGGGGAGGGCCAACCTAATGGCCCTGCCCGGGGGACCAGGGCCGATGCCACCTGCACACAGGACATCACAGTGCCAGCCACCAGCCACGGTGCTGCCTGATGTCTGATCCGTGGAGGGCTGCATGGGCGTCCTGGAGGTGCCCGCTGCGTGGTGGCAGCAGAAGGCTGTGTTGCCCTGGGAGGCTCCTGTTTGCCGACTGTTGCGCAGAGCACGTAGATGGAGAAAGCTGGGCCCCAGGGTGGGGCCGCGTGGCCGGCAGGGCGGGTGTTGGTCCCAGGGCCCCCACATGCGGTGGGGTGTGGGGCCGGGGGGAGGTGCAGGCTGAGCTGGGTGTGGGTCAGGGCTCTGGGGTATCCAACTGCCACCTTTTGCTTACTGGCAGCAGTGTCTACCACATCTCCCTCAAAGGCATGCTGTGGACTCTAGACACCTGGGGAACCGTGAGCCCTGGGTTTGTCATTCTCACACGGATATAGGCTGAGAGGTTTGGACACTTGTGTGAAGTTACACAGCAGGCGTTGCGGGCATGGGACTCCAGCCCTGGCTGAGCAGCTCCAGGTTAGTGTCTGGAGTTGCTCTACATACACTGAGCTCCGCGCTACTCCCCAGCTGGTGCCCAGGCCCTGGTGCCCAGGCCTGGCATCACAAGACCTGGCCCTGCCCCCTGCCCAGCCTGGCTGTTTGCCTGTACAATGGAGGAAGCCCCAGGGCGCCTCCTGCAGGGCAAAGCTCCACTCTAGGGTACCTGTGTCCAGGGGGCTTGGCCTGGCCTGGGCACACTGCAAGAAGAGGCCACCATGACCCTTCCCCCAGTGACTCTGGGCCCTAAAGGGACAGGGACACCAGCCAACCACAGCGCTGGGCTGGAGGCAGTGAGGAAGTGACGTGCCTCCCAGACAGACCATCAGCGCAAACGCCTCTCCAGGGCATCTGATTGAGTTTACCTCGATTTCCCCATCTGGACCACAGCCCTCTCTGGCTCATCTACCTTCCTGCCCCGGGCCGACCTGACATCCCAGCGCTCTCCACCCAGGCCCTGTCTTTGCTTGGGCCTCAACGTGACATGGGGACACCCCTGGGACATCGGAGGCTCTCAGCAAAACTTCAATAAATGGCCAGGTGCCTGTGTTGTCGCAGTAGCTCCTCATGTACCACACTGGACAGCCAAGCGACTCCCTTGGTTCCAGGAGAGAAACTGAGGCTAGGAGGGTGAGGCTGGCTGGGCAGATCACCTGGGCAACCGGCAGGGCCCGTGTTGGTTCTGTGCCTGTGAATGGTGTGGGGATTCCTCTCTCTCTGCTGCACACCTACATCTTGGACCTCGGCGCTCTTGGAGGGTGTTGGGGGACAGGGACCAGGTTTTGGGGTTATCTTTACCCCTGGAGGAGCAGCTCGCCCGCATCTACAGAAAATGACAGCGCGGGACATGCTGGGTGGCCTAAGATCAGAGAGGGGAGGGTGGTCAGGACACCTCAGGGAACAGCAGGGCTGGGGTCCCAGAGGGCACAGATGCCAGCAGCCCCCCGGCCGGGTTCCGGAGGCCCAACCCGGGTCCTGCGTGGACGCCCGGCTCCGGCCCCGCCCCACTCGGCGCGGTGGGCGGGGCCTGGCTGCTGCGCTGGCCGCTCGCAGGCGCTGGGAGCCGCCGGGCCTGCGCGAGCCCAAGGTCTGGAGCCGAGGCAGGTGAGCCGGGCCGGGACCCCACTGCGGGCGGCGGGTCGGCTCAGGTCGGGTCAGGGGCGCCGGGACACCCCGCTGTGCTTGCGGAGGCCCTGGTCACGCTCCTCCCCCACCCGCGCCTGGGAGAAGCCACAGGTGGGCGGGCGCGGGGGGCGGGGCCGGGACACCTGCGCCCCTGGGCGCTGTGCGCGCAACCCCGTAGGAATCGGGGGTCCCCCACCCGGGAGATGAGAGAGGGGCGCGCCCGGGGTTTTGCGCCCCGAGGGCCCACGCCTCCTCACCCCGTTGCCCGGCTCTTTCTCCAATTCTGCCTCCGTCTCTGCGTGCGCCTCTGCCCCCATCTCCGAGCCCATCTCTGCCCCTGCTGAGAAGTTAGTCCAGGCCCTCCGGGAAGGGGAAGCGCCCCACCCGTGTTCTGGGTCGCAGCCCCGCAGGACACCTCCAGGGTGACCCTCCTCAAACCCACTAACTAGGCCTTAGCATGCAGACCCTGGGGACAGGGGCCCACCCTGACCCCTCCCGCTTCTTTTCTAGACGCTGTTCCTCATCTGGTCTCTCACCCTCCACCCCCATGAAGAAAACCAACATGTGGTTCTTGGACCGGCTCCGCGGGTCTGGGGAGAACGGCACTCGGGCTGCGGGGGGCGAGGCAGGGGACAAGGCTGCCAAGGGGCCCCTATACAGCAACGTGCTGACCCCCGACAAGATCCCGGACTTCTTCATCCCCCCTAAGCTGCCCTCGGGCCCCGCGGAGGCTGAGGGGCCGGCTGAGCTGGGGCCGTCCCCGTCTGAGCAGAACCTGGCTGCGTCCCCCCGCCGCAGCCCCCGCAGCCCCCGGCTGCCCACCAAGCTGGCCGCGGAGAGCAGGAGCCTGCTGAAGGCAGCCACGCGACACGTCATCCAGATCGAGAGCGCCGAGGACTGGCCAGCGGAGGAGGCGTCCCTGCCCTCGGTGCCCAAGGCCCAGACGTCCTATGGCTTCGCCACACTGGCCGAGAGCCCCCACACGCGGCGCAAGGAGTCCCTGTTCCACAGTGAGCACGGGGCCCTGGCCCAGGTGGGCTCCCCGGGCGCAGGGCGCCGGCGCGCAGGGGCCAAGGCAAACGGGGGGGATGGGGGCCCCAAAGAGGCTGGAGGGGGCTTGATGAGCCCCGGCCGCTACTTCAGCGGCGGGGAGAGTGACACGGCTTCCTCAGCAGAGTCCTCCCCGTTTGGGTCCCCTCTGCTGTCGCGCTCAGTGTCCCTGCTCAAAGGTTTTGCGCAGGATGGCCAGGCCAAGGTGAGCCAGCTCAAGCACTCTGTGGGCCGCCACGGCTCCCTGTCGGCCGACGACACCACGCCGGACACCAGCCCCGGTGTCCGCCGTCGCCTGACCCGCCGGCCCACCCCAGAACCGGGCCCCGAGTCCGGCCCGGCGGCCCGAGGGGAGCACACGGTGCGCGTGGGGCCCCGGGGCAGCGTGCGGCTGCTGGCCGAGTACGAGGCGGCCCAGGCCCGGCTGCGCGTGCGCCTGCTGGTGGCCGAGGGTCTGTACGAGCGGCCCTGGGATGCCCGAAGCATCAACTGCTGTGTGGGCCTGTGTCTGGTGCCTGGCAAGCTTCAGAAGCAGCGCAGCACCATCATCAAGAATAGCCGCCACCCGGTCTTCAACGAGGACTTCTTCTTCGACGGCCTGGGCCCCGCCAGCGTGCGCAAGCTCTCCCTCCGCATCAAGGTGGTGAACAAGGGCAGCAGCCTGAAGCGGGACACGCTGCTCGGGGAGAAGGAGCTGCCCCTCACCTCGCTGCTGCCCTTCCTGTGAGGCTGCCGGCTTCTTCCCAGGAGGCACAGGGGGCGCCCGGTCTTCTGCACACTGGCCGGGGCAGATGGGTTGCTGGGGGCCTGGGGCTGGGTGAGGAAATGGGCTTCAGCTGCGTGGGGCTCAGCCCCATGCCGCCTGCGGCTGACCCTGGGGTCCTGGGTGTGAACAGAATGTTCCTTTTCATGGAAAGACGGTTTTGGAGGGGGAGGAAGAGGAGGATAGGCTGCAGGGAAGAGGTGGGTGCCTTGGCAGGGCTGACCGTCCCCTGAGGTCCCCCAACGCTCCTCTGCCTTGCCTATCTACAGAGCTGGGGACGGAGGTTCTCGGAGCCCAAGAATGCGGGAGGCTGAGGCAGGAGGGACCTAGAGGCTAGTCTCAAGTCCTTTGTGGCACAGTGTCACCCACCCCCGGCCGCCCTGCTGCCACCCTGCCCTGCCCAGGTGCCTCAAGAGCTGGTGACACCACACGGCACCTCCCTTCCTCAGGCCCTGGGCAGCCCTGACCTCCAGGCTCAGAGGCGAGGGGCTCAGGGGCACCCGTGACATCCAGGCCCAGCTCTTGATGGAGGAGAATGTATGGCTGCCAGGCTGGAGTCAGGAGCGTGGGGAGATGGGGAGAGGGCTGAGCGCTGGCTGGCGCTCATCAGGGGCCACCTCGATGGGAGGGGCTTGTGCCGCCCTGGAGGGGGCCTGTTCCCTCCCAGCCAGCGCCCGGCTTGGTCTTTACAGGACCTGCTCCACGTGCGTGGGGCTTGGTTACAGAGACCTGGTGGGATCACCCTGGGCCAGGCCAGGCCTGGTTCTGGTTCTGGCTTTTCAAGGGGCCAGGCAGCTGACTGGGTTTTGCTGTTGGTTACGTGAGTCCTCGAATGATTTCCGTGCTTTTTTCACAAACTCTGCAAGTCACAGGAGGGCAGGTTGGCCGCTGGGGAGGGCCGCCCCGTGGGACGCGTCCCCCTCCTTGGCTGTCCCCCCTTTCGCTGGGTCTCTTCTTCCCAAGCTGATGTCTGCATCCCACCAGGGCGGGGTGCGGAGCTGACTCCCCAGGCCTGGAGGGAGCCTGCGATTCCTGCTGTGCCCCTGTGAGTGGCCCTGTGCCCGGTGGTGGCTGGGCCCAGGCCCCTGTCTGTGCCTGCCCCGTCCCCTCTGGAACCTGGGGCGCAGACTGCAGGCCCTGCATGGAGCTGGATGCTTGGAGCTCGTGGCTACCACCCTTCTCTGGTGGGGACCCCCACTCCCTATTTTCCCCAGGATGGGGTTCCCCATTTTATATATCTGTGCACTGTTTGATATCTTTGTGTTTGAAGTTGACTGTGGTGAATCTTTCAGACACCGCCCTCCAATGTGTTTGTTTATAAATGCTGTTTTTAGTGCAATAAAGGTGTTTCTGGGATGCGGGGGTGGAGGTCTGCTTGCTTTGCTGTGTAATCACTGGAGAAGAGTTTTACCCTGAATTCCTGAAGCGGGGCAGAAGCCTGAGGGTAGGAAGTCCCTACTCACCCTCCAGGCTCAGCAGGTCGGGTGCCCAGAATGGTCATCAGTGCCCTCCTCACAGTGCTGTGGATACCCCAAGAAGCACAGGACACCCAGACGAGCTATCCTGCCCAGATCCTGCAGCCGGACCCAGATGTACCCTGCCAGCGTCTCTGCTCCACGCCAAGGCACGTGGCCCCTCCTCCAGGAAGCTTTTTGGGCCTCCCCTGGGGAAAGGCCTTTGCCCTTTGCCCTTTTACCACACCAGCCCCTAGGGTCTGGGTCATTCTGGCCCCTGGCATCCCAGCTCCAGGAAGTGCAGTGTGACAGGGTCCCGATTCCTCTGTGACCCCAGGCTGGGCTCTCTCTCCCCTCTGACCCCATGCCTTAGGGGTCTGTCACCCCGTGCCTCCCTCTGCGTGCGTTCTCGTGGCCGTGAGGTGCGTGTGCGCAGGTGTGTGCCTCACGCATAACCGTGTTTCGCATGCGTCGTGTGCCTGTGTGACAGGTTGTGCCGGTGTTGGGGACCGTAGCCACCTCATACCTGCGGGCCCTCCAAAGGCTGTCCTGTGAGAGTCCCACCCCGCTCCTGTCTGTTGCTAGGCCTTTGGGTCCGGCCCTTCCCTCCTCTTGGGCACTCCCAAAGGAACACCTCTGCTACCTGCACCCTTAGTGTCCCTGGGGCGTGACTTTGTGTGAAGCAGGGGGTGGAGGTGGTGCCAGCACTGCCTCATGCCACAGTCTTGCTGTCATCCCGAGCATCCTGAGGCTCCCCAGCTCGGGACCCTCGAGTCAACACAGGAAGAAGGTGCAGGGAGCAGCAGAGCCTAGAGATGAGGCAGAGCCAGGCTTGGCACCTGGACCCAGCTGTGCCTGAAATCCACAATTGCGCACTGCCCACTGTTTAGCAGGCCAATCAAGTGCCTTGTTTGCTCAAGCCAGCTTATTACCTTTTCATCAACAGCCAAAGGATACCGAGGCAGTGAGTGACAGGCACCAGAAAACAGTTCTGTGGAAGTGGGCAGAATCTGAACTGGAGAGGAGGGGGCTGTTGGGACAGCTGCAGGGGCAAAATGAGGGTGTCCTGTGATCCTGCCCTGACTTATGCTCCTGGTCTGAGACCTCCCATAGCTCCCTATGCCCCGCCCAAGGCCCCACTTTTGCTTGTTCAAAGCTCCTCTTGCAGCCCTGCTCCAGGGGCCCAGCCTGGGGTCAGAGAGGAATCGGGACCCTGTCACACTGAACTTCCTGGAGATGGGATGCCAGGGGCCAGAATGACCCGGACCCTAGGGGCTGGTGTGGTAAAAGGGCACAAGGCAAGCGATGCCCTTGTTCCTTTCCTCACTGTGACAGCTAGGGAACAGTGCGAGGGGTGCAAGTCCCAGTTTCCAAGTGGCGGTGTGGCCTCGGGCTCTGTGTGCCTGGAGCCGGGAGGGTCTGCCGGGGGAGCTTACCCCACAGGCTTGTTGGCCTGTGGACCGGGGCAGGCGCAGGGCAGGGATGACGATTAATGTAATCACATCAGGGCAGAAATCACAGGCTTTGAACACCTGCTCTTCAGCCTGGCCTGACCTTGCTTCTCTCCCCTCCCTCTGGCAGGGTCCCCGCCCCCAGCGAGGGGCTCACTGCTGCCTTTGTTTTCTCAGTCACTCTAGGGTGAGAGGCACCCCAGCCGCTAGGCTGCGAGGAGAAAAATGACTTCAGTAAAACAGAGAAGCCGGGTGCACGCTATCATCCTGGCACTTGGGAGGCTGAGGCAGGAGAATCACAGGGAGTTAAAGGCCAGCTTGGGCTGCATAGCAAGACTTTGTCTCAAAAATAAATAAATAAATTAAGTGGAGTGAGGGGTGTGTGCAGGTCCCAGTTTTGCAGCCCATGAGCACCCCCTGGCCCATGGCCCTCAGTTTACCCTCCTATACAGTGGGGATATCACTTGCTCCTCTCCCTCGGATCTGTTAAGAAAGCTCCTTCTCAAACCTCTGCCAGGTAGGTGGTGACCTGCTGAGTCTTTGCCACAAGCCTCTTGACCTTATTCACAGATGAGGAAACTGAGGTACAGGATGGCAGAGTAACCTGTCCAGAACCACCGGCTGGCAGGTGGCAGGGCCTAGACTCACACTGCACTCCCTGAAAGGAGCCGGACGCCCGCCTGCGGGCCTCTCCCACCACACGTGCTGACGCTTGGCTGCAGGGCTGCCCGTGTGCTGCGCGGCGTGGGCAGCTGCCCCCTGGCGGCCCAGTTCACACCCCAGCGTGCGGTGCTCTTCCCCTGGCTCAGCTTCCCTTGAGCACCCGCACGCCCCTGGGGCTGGTGTGGGCCCGAGGGGCTGATCCTGCACCACATGGAGCCTGTGGCGGGTCGCAGGGCCTTGCCGGGAGGGCTGTGGGCTCGTGATGCTGGAAGGACACCGCCCTTGTTCTTTTCCAAGTTCTTGATGACTTTTCCTCGCCTGAGCGATGTGAGGGCTGGCTCTATGCGAAAGCACTCAGTGTATGTTGGCTGCATGCAGTAGGCACTTGGTGTGTGTCATCCGGCTGCAGAGCCTCCCGCTGGCTCAGTCAGGGTGCCAGGGGGGTGACCTTCCTGTCCCATTGTTCTTCTGGCACCTGGCTCTTCCCGGGGACATGGGGTCCCCTGCCTCACACTCAGGCTGCGAGAGCAATAGGAGGGGGCAGGACGGCGCTGGTGACCGCCAGGGCAGGGCTGAAAGGACAGTGGCCGCTGGGCACACACTCTTGGCTGTCTCTCCGCTCCCATGTGGAGTCGCTGCTGGGCTGTGGGGATGCCCAGGTGTCCCGGATCCTTGCCCTGTCTGACGCCTGGATACCACTGGCAGGGTGGGAGGCGCTCACTGCTGCTGGGCTCCCGCCCAACCAGAATCCTCGCCCAGGAAGTGGCTGCTTCAGCAAGGAAACTCTGGAGAGGCTTCCTGGAGGAGGAGGTCAAGGCGGAAGGGAAGGATGCGGCAGCCTTGGTCTGGAACACGGAGTGTGTTCTTTATTCTGGGGGCAACAGGTGTGATGAGTAGTTTATTTGGGAGTTAAATTTTTAAAAATTATTTTTTCTTTTTCTTTCTTTCTTTCTTTCTTTCTTTCTTTCTTTCTTTTTTTTTTTTGTTATAAGATCTTGCTATGTAGCTCAGGCTGGCCTTGAGCTCACTATGTAGCCCAGGCTGGCCTCAAACTCACAGCGATCCTCCTGTCTCAGCCTCCCGAGTGCTGGGATTAGAGGTGTGTGCCACCGTGTCCAGTTTGTCAAATGTGTTTTTTTTTTTGGAGGACTGTGTCAAGGGTGTGTGGGGCACATGGAGCCCGGCAGGGTCCGACTGGGTCTGATATGGAGGTGGCAGAGGTGGCAGGTGCACTGTAAAGATGTGGCTGTCACGTCTCCCTGGGCATGCGGGGTGCCAACTCCTCTGTGCAGCCGCGCTCTGAGTGCCACCTGCAAACACAGCTGTGTCTTCCAAACCTGTCCCGAGGGGCAGAGGGCACGGTGGCACCAAGGTGGACAACCCTTAGTCTAGTGACAAAGCTGGACACTGGCCACCTACTTAGGAGAAGCTGGCGGGCAGGCAGGATGTCTCCAGGGCCCCTGGAGGGGCCGGGGCACTGACTTTGTCAGAGGTTCACCCCAGTCGGTGGCCTTCACCGGGCCTGGAAGAGTCAGGTGCCTAGAATAGATAAAATATGATTCCAAGGGAGCAACAAAATGACAAGCACATTTAGGAAAGAGCAAAGAATTGAGTGGTTGTTTCTCAGAGGAGATGTGCCAATGGCCAGCGGGCCCACGCAAACAAGCCGCATACCACTCCTCATTAGGGAAACGCAGATCAGAACTCAGATCACACCTCACACCCACGGCGGTCTACAGCCAGGAGAATGGGAGGTGGTGGGCGGCGGCGAGGCTGTGAGATGGGGACGGGCACACGCCGCGGTGGGAACGTGACGTGAGGCCGCCAGAGTGGAAAACAGCCCGGTGACTCCTCAAGAGGACTTCTCGGATCGTCCTGCCACCCTGTCACCCGGCAATCCTGCTCCTGGGAATCCCAAAAAGGGCACAGAGCCATCGCTCAAGGAAACATGCGGACAGTGGTGTTTCCTACAGCAGCCAGCAGCAGAGTGTGGCCCGTTCACACACCAGGGCAGGGCTTGGGCAGGACAGGGCTCGGCTGCGACTCGCCACGGCGGGGAGGGACCGTGGGGACGCCGCGCTCAGTGAGAGACGCCAGACGCAGAGCACGCACAGCGTGGGCTCCACGGACCGGAAACGCCCAGGCAGGTGATCCCAGAGACAGGAAGTGGACTCGGGGTCCTGGGGCTGCGGGGGACGGGTGAGGCTCCCGGGCACAAGGTTTCTTTGGGGTGAGGAACGTCACAACAGGGACGGTGGCAGGAGCCGTTGAAGAGGGCACCACGTCACTGGCCTGCCATCAGCTGCTTGGGG